TCGAGATTTTCTATACCATCGGGCACGACGAATATGTATCACGATTTGAGACATAGTTATTGGTGGCCATGTATGAAGAGAGATATAGCTTAGTTCATGGTGCGATGCTTGACATTCCGGAAGGTCAAGGCCGAGCATCAGCGCCCTCACAGCAAATTGCAGCCCATAGTGGTCCCATTATGGAAATGGGAGCAGATCACCATGGATTTTATCACGAACTTACTAAAGACTTCAAAGGTTTTCGATTCCATATGGGTGATTGTGGATAGTTTGACTAAGAGTGCTCACTTTCTGGCCATTTGTGAGAGCTCTTCATCTGAAAAGTTGGCAGAGATCTATGTTCGAGAGGTGGTTGCTCGACACGGCGTACCCAACTCTATCGTTTCAGACTGGGATGTTCGTTTCACTTCCAGATTTTGGAAGAGGTTCCATGAGGATTTGGGTACCCGGTTGCATTTTAGTACTGCTTATCATCCACAGACAGATGGGTAGAGCGAGCAGACCATCCCGACGCTCGAGGATATGTTAAGCAGACCATTCCAACCAAGCAATTCAAGCCTACTAATTTGAGACCAATATGTTGCATTTTAGTATTGTTTATCATCCACAACAGCCACCATGCCAGCATTGGTATGCCTCCCTTTGAGCTTCTCTACAGGAGGAAGTGTCGGACCCCTATATGTTGAGGAGAGGTTGGGCAGAGAGTCATGGGGAGCATAAAGATAGTGCTCAAGATGACAAAGATTATACATAAGGTCAGAAAAAGGTTACTGATGACCCAGAGCCATCAGAAGAGTTACGCAGATCAGCTTCGTTCCAAGTTAGAGTTTCGGGTCGGGGATATGGTACTCCTGAAGGTGTCGCCTTGGAAGGGTGTTATCCGATTCAGGAAGTGGGGAAAGTTGGGCCTCAGGTTTATCGGTCCTTTCATAATTTTGGCCAATGTAAGAAAGGTGGCCTACCGGTTGGACTTGCCAGAGAAGCTAGTCAGATTCATATCACCTTTCATGTATCCCTGTTGTGGAAGTGTATGACCGACAAGACAGTGATAGTACCTTTGGATTATATTCAGGTCGATGACCGCCTGAATTATATCGAGCGACCGATAACGATTCTTGTCATGAAGACGAAGACCATGCGTAACAAGGTAGTGGAATTAGTGAAAGTGCAGTGGCATCACCGGAAGGGCTCTAAGTGGAATTGGGAACCCGTAGAGGAGATGCGTACCCACTACCTTGATTTTTTTACTGTAGAGAATTTCGAGGACAAAATTTGATTCAAGTGGGGGAGAATTGTAACATCCTCTTTCCAGGAATTCTTTTCTTTGAAAGTGTTAGCTATTTATTTTTGTCTTATTGGTCTGGCCACGACGTGGAACTGGAGTGCCACGGCGCGACACTCGATTAATGAATAAACGTGTATCCGCTTTTGGCCACGACGTGGCGTTATGTTCGCCACAACGTGACATCCGTCTGGGCCTAAACCCCTAATTTTGGGATTAATGCCCTATTTAAGGACACTAAATCCTAGGGTTGCCTCATTTGGCAGCCTCCACCCTCTGAAAATGACCCCCATTCAAACTATAGCCTCCATTTGTGTTTTGAGTGCTTGAACTCCATTTTTGTGAAGGTTGAAGGAATAAGGAGCTCTTGGTGTTGCTTGTGACTGTGGTTCCAGCTTAGATCCATCATTTTCATCTCATTTCTATATCATTGGAGGTATAAAGTCTCTACCTTGATCACTAGTTCTCTATATCTACTTCTAGGTCATTTTATGAGCTTTTAGTCCCAAATATTCGTGTTCTTGGAGTTTGAGTGAACTCTAGAACCTTTGAGTGAATTTTTTAGCTTTTGGACCTTGGGGTTGGTTGGAAAGTTGGCTTGCATGGCTTGTTGAGTTAACCCAAGCCTTGGTGTTATCATTAAGAACTTAGAATTTGAGATATTGTCTTAATATGACATCTTAATGGATAAATTTGAAAACTTTATCCATCAAGACCATGAGGAGGTCAGGATCTGAATGTTTGAGCTGTTGGGACTGAGGCATAACTGCTTAATCAATTAAGTTGTTGGTGCCTAGTGCCCACGGTGTGGCTCCCAGTGGCCTCGACATCGGAATCGATTGATTACCGACCGTTTTTCTTGGAATGGCCACGACGTGGCCGTAGGTGGCCACAACATGGAGACCTGTCAAATTTGACTTTGACCGTCAACTTTTGACCATGGTTGACTTTTAGTTAATTCGGGGGGTTAAAGAATGTAGACTGAATGAGTATTTCCTTATTGTTGAATATATGTTTCATAGTACCGGTCTTCTTGTGGGAGAGTCGTTGTGTCTTAGCTGCTATCTACGAGGTGAGTCTTCTCAATGTACTCGTGGGTCGAAGGCACCAATGTCGGCCCACTGAATTGTGTATGTAAGATGCATGTGTCTATGCGACTATGGTTGGTATAATTGTATATTGTATGCATGGATCCGATCAAGGCTCGGAGTCATTATGGACTCGGGGTTGAGACGAACCCGATGTAGTCGATCTTTACTCGGAGTCATTATGGACTCGGGGTTGTTACGGACTCGGGATTGTTACACACACGATACAGCTATGTGTTGTCATATATATATATATATATATATATATATATATATATATATATATATATATGTGTGTGTGTGTGTGTGTATGTGTGTGTGGTATTTTGGGGGAAAACTCCCTAAGCTTCGTGCTTACAGATGTTGATTTATTGTGTTTCAGGTACTTCAGATGATCGCAGGAAGGCGAATGCTTGATTGTACACATCCGCCTGCAACTTATGTGAATCCGCAAGTTTTATACTCTGATATTTTTGGGATGATTGTATTTTGATACTTATGTTCCTTGACTTGGTTTTAGAAAAACAATGATTTATCCTTATTTAAAAATAAAAAATTTGTTTTGAAAATGGGACGTTACACTTTTACGTAAAGAAAAACTTTAAATTTCAATTTTACCAACATAAGTTTAAAGATTTTAAAAAAATATAAAATATTCATACATTGCATAAAAACTATAAACAAATTTTCTACCTAATTTAAATACATACTATGAAAAATCAAGTAGAAAAAAATTACCAAAGTGGTATTTAAGGTAAAATAGATAAACCAATGAGAAAAAAATTACACACAAGGTTAAATTAGATAAAAGAATTAGGAAAATACAATTTCAACCAAGTAATGACTAATAAGTTTGGTTACCTGGATAAACTTTGAGATATATATATATATATATATATATATATATATATATATATATATATATATATATATATATATATATATATATATATATATCAGGGCCGGGTCTAGGATCGGGGTCTAGGGATATCCCCATCCTCACTTTTTTATTCGGGGATTCCCCATCCCCGTCCCCATCAATAGTTAACTTAGGGATACTCCGGTCAAAACGAATGCGAGTTTCGTGTTCTTCATCTGGTATGGGTTTTTTGTCATCCCTAAAATTGTAAAAAAGAGGTTGTGATGCCCGACTTAGATCAATGTATTTTATTTCTTTGATGTAATCATGTTGAGAACTACTTATATTGGATTGTTAATAGATGTGTACCCTTTACTTGTAAATTTAAAAAGTGAATTTTTTTTTGTGTACATTGCATTAAAAAGTCGGATGTTACATATATCTTATTTGTTTTTAAAAATTGACTCTTTAAGATAAGTTTATGTTTGTGGGTTGAGAGTTTGAACAATGGTATAATGTAATCTTCATAAAGTAGTTTTAGTTTCTTCATACTAATAAAAGAACTCATAGTCATCCTTATCATATTGCTTGGACTTAGCGTTATCATTATCATATTGAATTTCATCATAATCCGATCTAGCTTCACGACTTTCCACCGGTGATCCGTGTGGAAGTAATATTAAATCATCAATCAACACAAACATTTTTTCATAATCGTTTGTTAATTCATCATTGCCATATGCAGTCCTATTGCAAGCAACCTGTTTACCTTTACGATGCTAATAGCGTCACATTCATGTCCATCATAATCAACTTGTGTTTCATAGAGTGTATATAAAGGAATCAATGAAAGATACAATAAATTTACATACTTGGTTACTTACAGTGTTAGATGGCCCACTTGTGTAAGACCGTTTTTCTACAAGAAATCGATTGTAGGAGTAGTAGATTGGTATGCCGGCGGTGGAAGTTAATCTGTGGCAAAAATCACGTTCATGTGGGTTATGTATGGGTTTTACCCGCACCAATCTAAATTACCGCATCATTATCAATTTTAAAAATGCAAAATTTGTAAAAATGTTTTTTTCAATCTATATGGCAATATGACATTTTCATTAATTTAATTATCATCGTACAACGAATGAGATGACAAACGGACAACAAGTTGTGCTGTTACGTCTTTTTGTATGGTAGAACTAATTTTTTTAAGACTACATTCATAGATTTAAGGGATATAACATTGCTATACATGATCCGTTGTACTCTATTAAGAAGCTTCAACGCATCCGACACGAGAAAAAAAGTTTTGGAGACTGTTTAGTCTTAAATCGGAAGGCAAAAATTTTAAATTTAAGGCTATGTTTGGCGTACTAGCTGAAAAGCTAGCTGATAGTTGAAAAGCTAGCTGTTAAATAAAAAGCTAGCTGATAAAAAATAACGTTTGGTAAAACTAGCTGAAATATATAAAATTACATAAAATGACATGTAGGAGTATGTGTTTCTATAATTAATTAAGGGGTGTATTTGGAAAATTTTAAAAAAACTCCTAAAAAGTTAGTCTAAGTAGCTTTTCAAAAAGCTAACTTATAAGCTACTTTTTGGCTTGCCAAACACGACAACATAAAAAAGCTCGAAAAATAAGCTACCTTATCAGCTACCTGTGGCACGCTAAACACAGCCTAAATGATAGGTTTCCATGGAAACCACACAATTCAGTTTGGCACACAATTCAGTTTCTTTTCTTTTTTCTAAGAAAAGGCAATCGAAACAAATGGGTGGAGCCCACGAAAACGGCGATACAACCGTTGGCCACAGCTGTTGGGCAACCCCACATAAACACCCTGTCAACAGTCGGGCAGTTTGGTCAGCTCATGCCACTAAAGTGTCCCCTCCCCTTTCACACACCCCTATATATATTAACCCCCCATCACCTCCAACACCACCACCACTTTCAAGTTTCAACACCCTGCAATTAACCAAACTAATCTGTTCTTAGATTCCGCTTGAATTTCAAATTCAAACTAAAACATCAATGGAATCAATGAAGATGAAGCTCTTCGCCGCCGTTGTTGTTATGTTGATGGCCGTAGCTGCCGTCAGTAATGTCGCAGCTCAGGAAGCTCCCGCCCCGGCGCCGGGTCCGGCTTCCGCCGCCAGCGTTTACGTTCCGGCCGCCCTTATTTCCCTTATTTCTCTTTCCTTTGGGCTTTTATTCTAAATCGATTTCATCCATTTCTCTCTACCTCGATTTGGAGAAATTATTTTTGTTTTGTATTGAGATGATTTGTTCTGCTTATATCCGCATTTGTTCTTGAAATTTTTGTATGTGAATTCATTCTTTTGTTGAATGTATGTATGGTTTTCAGATCCTTAGTTCTCGTGTTTCGATCCAAATTTTCATTTGTTCAAATTGATTATTGATTGAATTTCTGTTTTTTTTTCATTGAATAACTTTGATTTCATAAAAATTCTTTCATGTGATATCTTGAATGAGAATTTGTGATTTTGTTTTCATCCATACAATTGTGAATGTGTGAATGAGGTTATGAGGCGCATATTGAAAGTAAGATATTATGTTGTCTGCCACATGCTCTTTCTGATTGTGTAACAGTTGGAAAGGGCCACGCCTTTGGTCGCATTATTGTTTCATGTATATGAACAAAAACCTTTTTTTTCATATATATATTTAAAAAAAAAACTTCATCAATGATTGTGTGTAGCTTTATAATCATGTGAATTCGAATACATATTTTATTAAATTAAATTACCTAACATTGTTAGCTACATATGCACTACGATGAGTATTAGAATAAACTTGATAGATGAGGTGAAATTGAATCGTTGTTATTAATGATTTATATACTATGAATACGATCAAAGTTGAATAAAAATAACAATAATTAAAATATTACATGGTGATTTCACAGTCAAGTAAAGAATCAAAAAAAAAAACAATAATTAAAATATTACATAGTGATTTGACAGTCAAGTAAAGAATGAAAAAAACACGATCCAAGGACAATTTAAGAGATGGACAAACAAGGAAAATGTTAAGGTTAGGTATGGGTGTGAAGGTATCCATACGTGGTTGATGTAGCATTAGAAAACATCATCCCTATTGTTAGGTTAGGTATGGGTGTGAAGGTATCCATATGTGGTTATGTGGCATTAAAGAACATCTTTCCTATTGTGGTTGTAGAGTGGAGTAGAACTGTAGAACCGATTAAAAAGTTTCGTAAGGTTGGAAGAAGTGGTGTCAAATTTATTACAGTTTATGTAAGCGTCATATCAGATTTGTCACACTGCAGCAAAAATTTGTCATTTACATGGTCTGAGTTGTCATATTTTTTTTTTTTTTTTTTTCTAAAATTAATTTATATTAAAAATAATCAATTTAACCAAACTCTTTTAAAACTAAAATTTCATTAAGCTTCAACATACATTAAAATTTCACGGTTTATGTAAGCGTTATATTAAAATTTCATTAATCAGAAATTAATTAGAATTAATTTTGGGATTAATTGAATTAATTAATAGTGCAATGACCTAAGCTGTAATTGTTCAATAGTTGAACAAAATACTTCTAGAACCTTTCCCATAGGGTGGACGGTTTGGAGGGTGGTTATAGGCTTCTAGAATATCCATTGAAGATAATTAGGAAACCAGATAATTACCTGATTTGATATATTATTATTTAATCAAGTAAGAGTTGTCTAGGGTTTTATTATCAGCTATAAATAGGGACTTAAATCCTCTAAATTTCGGCAAACTCCATTTGCTAAGAGCATAGCCGAAATTTGCCCTCTTTTCTCATACCTCTTCAAGTTTCCTAGTTGTTAGGGTTTGAGTGTGAACCATCAGAGGCATGAGATTTCTGGTGCTAGCTTCCAAGAGTTTTGAAGAAGGATTTGATTAGTTATTTACTACAATAACTAAAAGGTATGTAACATCTTGTATGGATTTCGAAATTAGTTGGGGTTATAGGGTTGTTGTTGTTCAATAGAATGTTACTACAATAGTGTTATGATTAGATATAATATGTTGCATGCACCCTTGAGTGTATAAGGATTTATCAACGTTATTGCATGTAAAACCCATCAATTAATACCAACTATAACACTGAGTTGGTATATAGACTCGCTACGTTGGGTAGGGTTGTTGTGATAGACTCTGGGCTATTTGACCATGAAGTCGATACCTGTCCAACGATTTCAACTCTTCCACAAGGGAATTGATATAAACAACCAAGGTTGGCTAACAATTAGGGTTTGAAATTGAAGTTAGGAACCTAATCTTCGAAGAAGTCATGGGTGAGGTTGGGGGAATTAACACGACCCAATGAATTGTATATCACTATACATCAAAGGAAATTCGAGAAGATCACAAGGTGACTTGGGTTAAAAGATTAAAGGTCCAACATAAAATTTCATTATTTGGTATATAAGAGATTCAACTATCTGATCTAGATAACATCAACATCCTTGGGTGTTGGGACTCAACCGACTTCAATCACGTTGGGGTTCATGCGACAAGTAGGTCGGGAGGCTTAAATGTATCACCAATAATTGTCCAGAACTTTCATCTTAAGGAGATCGAAGGTCAACAACGACGACATAATCATTGGTAGCACTCGTAACATCAGTTTGTGTTACAACATCAGTACATGACACCACCACCATACTAGCATCACAATCCTCTAGAAATCGAAACCTATATAGGGAGGGGGTGGGTGTGGTATGAGTGGTTGTTGTGGCCCCAATCTTATATATATATATATATATATATATATATATATATATATATATATATATAAAAGGTAAATAAGTATAAATCATGTTATTTAAATTAATATTTTTTAAGTATAGTTATTTTTTAAGTATAATTTTTTCGTTGATATTACATAGAAATAAGAAATCAAACAAAATAGTTTTGATGTATCCACTGAATCTATTTAGATCACATTTAATAAATCACTTGTTATTCAACCTATCCGTCCATCTCTTTTTAAACCATACTGGTTAAATATGGAAAGTACAATTATAGTTTCTTAAACATAAAAATTGAAAGTTCACCTCGAGGAATAAAAGAATTATAGAAGAGTTTACGAAAAGAATTTCTATACATCCAAAATCTACCATTCCATTGGTACACACCTTGAAAAGTGAAAACTAGACTATAAGTTGAGTAGAAAATATCAAAGCAACTCAATTAAAGTATATTTTAAAATATGATTTATTTTTATGACTCGTTTATTCTAATTTAACTAATACCATGACATGGGTGATGGGCCTAAAAAAAAGGAACATGGTGGGTGAGCCTCTTTACTTTGGGCTTCAAGAGTCCAAAAAATAAAAATCGCTGTTGCAAAGTAACCCTAAAATCACTAGCCTCCTCCTCAAAACCCCATATCCATTGGAGCTCAACCTAAGTTCTTCATCTATTTCAGCATCGGATGTCTGTGTAAATCTACAAACTTTCTTTCAATCTTGATTTACTTCTATCATAGTAGTTATCCTCTGTTAGCATCACATCGAATTACGGAGATGAAAACAGAGCTCGTTTGCTTCGTAATTTGGATTGAATGTGCTCCGATTTCAATTCAATGCATCTCAATCATGTGAATCGTAAGCTCGTAACGTTTAACAGTTTGCTGGTGTTTTTTTTTTTCGAATCAACGCCTCTAAAGAGTAGCCGTATGAATACATTCAGATTTCATATCGAGCTTAGTTAAGAGGCTTATATCAAATACGTTTATTTACAGATTAAAAGGTTTTATCTTCATCGATTGACTTTTTAATTTGAATATTTAAACCACCGGGGCAATTTGGATCGATCATATGTGTTACCATCAATGTTCTTCCAAGCAGTCTCGGATAATTTTCGATTAAAAAATGTCTATGCTTTGTTTTTGTTTTTGAAATTGCCCTCGAATAATCGGATGTTTAATTCAATTTCGTTCGGTTCAGACAGGGGCATACAACAATGGTTTCGAGCTTGTTATTCAGATTTGATGCTTTTTGATCTTCTGAATTAAGTTTGATGTTATGGAACTTTGTTTATTTTGTAAACGTTGTTCCATCAACCTACATTCAATCATACATTACATGATGAATTCCATTCTTCAAAGGTTTAATATTAAAAACTTGATTTTTACCTATGAAAAAGATATTAGAACTTCAACAACTACTATATGACATAGACAAGTTTAGAATATATGCAATTGTTTAAGCCACTTAATCTATTATTGGAATGAAACTCTAAATACAGTAAGTTAGTAGATAATCCGACAACAAAGAACACAAATAAATAAGAATCGAACTAATCCCACTTTGTATGATAGAGATATGCTTGGTCAAAGTTGAGTAAAAATTCAGTACAAAGCTTGAATGTAGAAAAGTTTCTAAGTTTGGAAATTTAAAAGTATTTAGATGTCATCCTTAGGGCTGCATAAGATGAGCTTTACATATTCAATTCAATTCATTATTAAGCCAAAAATGAAGCCGAAAATGTGAGGAACTTGCAGCAAGCTGATTCAACTCATTCAAGACCATGCAAAAAGGTTGTGATAGATTAAAGTTGGCTACATGCTATGATGCTAACTTTTGGTGCTGTCAAAAAACAATCAGTTCCATTTTGTTGACTATTTGACAATTTGAGATTTTTTAACAAGTTAGAATAGAATTAACTTAGAATAAATTAATAAAATATGAGATATAAGTTTTAAACAAAATATTACAAGTTTTGGTTAGAGAAAAATAGAAAAGAAATAAAATTATCGAAATGACAAAATGACAATAAAATATATCTATTGTTTTGAAAACGTGTTAAGACTGATCCGGCATTGTTGATAAGTTAGCTTATGATTTTTTTAGTTGTTATGTTTGGCAAGCTAAAATATAGTTTTTTAAAAAGCTATTTAGACTAGCTTTTTTAAAAAAATTTCAAATATACCTTTTAATTAATTATAGAAACATATTTTTTAAAATGTCATTTTAAATTATTTTATATTTTCAGCTAGTTTACCAAACGATATTTTTTATTAACTAGGTTTTCAACTATCAACTAACTTTTTATTTAACAACTACTTTTCAGCTAGTAAGCCAAACATTTAGAAAACATATTTTGACAAAGTAAGATGTCTACATAAGAAAATGATTAAAAAAATGTCGAAATGAAAAGTGCTTTAAAATGTCCCAAAAACCATTTTTACATTATTGGGTTACATAACCTAAAGTAGGGGGTGATAAATCGGGTCATCGTGTTGTGTTTTTCTGACACGCCACAACTAGGTTTTATGTAACACGACACGACATGATGTCATGTTTTTTTTAACAAAAACGAAAACGAATCGATTAAAAAAATGACAAACATGACACGACAAAGATAAAATAAAATAAAAATTAGTTTATTTAATTAGTATTAAATCATATATAACACGAAAAACACGACAGACAAATGTTAAATCGTGTCAATTTTATGTCGGATTTCGAATACGAACACGTTTTTTACACTTGACACTTGACACGAATTCAAATTTTAGTTTCGTCCCAATTTTATTTCGCTCTGTGTATTTTTGTCGTGACGTGTCATCAATTGTCACCCCTAACATAAAGCAAACACAAGAATGCATGATGTACCAAAAGGCTTTTGGCCTAGCGGTAAAAAGTGATCCTTTCAAATGAGAGGTCATGGGTTCAAGTCTCTTATGAGACATAGGTGGTATTTAGGAGTAGGTTTAAATAGTTTGCCGTTTCAGAAGAAAAAAAAAAGAAGAAGAAGAATAATGTTTGGAATAATATGTAAAACAGTGAACCGTAAACGGTACACGGCCGTAAAAATAATAAAAGTTAATTTTAAATAATTTTATTTTATTTTAGTGACGACTAGAAATACATTTCGTGTTTTAAGCATCTTCAATCCACATCTAAATTCTAATTTATTCTATTTTTTTGGTCATTCTCATTCAATCTTACCTTATTTCTATCATATTTTTAGAGAGATGAATAATATTCCCCCAAATATAAAACAATACTATTCATTTCTAAAAAAAACAGAGTTGAAGTTTTAATTGTCAATTTTAATTGATATTTTATTTTACATATTTCTAGTTTATTTTTATCTACTCATTATAATTCCAATATAATATTTAATATTGGTATTACATTGTTAAAAAATAAATTATATTAATTAATCACAAATATAAAGTTTTATATATGCATCGAATTCATATAGAAAATTAAATACATACTAAAAATTTGAAACATTAATTCCAAAAGAAGTTGCAAAACAAGGTATATCTTACAAATACGACAATACGTTCGAGGATGAACATTATCTTGACACACCAGTTGAAGTTGCAAAAAAAGTGATATTGATAGAGATTGAAACGATGATGGATAAAGACAGCTAATTCCAACAATTTCTTGTTATGGTATAAATGTATTAAAGATAAAGAAACTCACTTCAGTTTTAGTCTACAAAATGCATAACTTGATCATTTATAAGAAATTATTTCGACGTATAAATTATAAATATGTACTAGTTTTTTCAAATGTAAGTGTAATATTTCTATAAAATGCATGTATAATGATTATTTAAAAGTGTATTATAAATATAATCTTATTTATTTAATAATTTTTTTCAATAAATAGTTTTTATACAAATTCATTATATACAAACAAGTTATTTTGTCACAGTTTTATAATAACATAACTTATAATATTATTACAATGAGAAAAAAATAGAATATATATATATATATATATATAATATATATATATATATATATATATATATATATATATATTATTAAAAGCTAATTAGTAAAAATATGATTGACAATCTATGTAAGTTACAAAAATAAAATATGATAGAAATATATTTTTGAAATAAAATAAAATAGAGATGAAGATGAAACATTATTTACCTTGTTTTTTTACACTATTTTTGGGATAAAATAATAAATATAATTTTACACTATTTTTGGGATAAATTAAAAATGAGTTGGAAATTGTCTAATACTATATTATGATTACTATCCCCTGCACTTATATCGTTTTCTTTTAATTTTTTAAGTATTTTATTTAGTAATTATTATATAATATTTTCTAGATAACTTTTTACTTAATATCTGTTTTAGTTTAAGATAAAGACTATAAAAGTTACAAAAATAAAATAGTTAACTATAACACAACTTTTACAACAATACTTTAAATAAATATTACTGAAAACTGAAACATAAAATATAAAAGGTGTTGTTAAAGATATATTAGAAAACTTTTTAATTGATTTTTTTTAACCAACAAATATGATATTAAAAGCCAAACCTAGCAAGGTGCTAGGGAGGAGAAGATGAGAAACAACAAGAAACAAAAACACACATGATAAAGAAAAAAGACATATTAGAGACAAATGCTCCAATCTACCCAATTAAAAACACCATTGTTTCTCCTCCTAAATAAGTTGTTGACATGATAATATAGCAACTTTAAAAGGGTTCAATCTTTTATTGTTGAATACTCTTTCATTTCTCGTCTTGCAAATACTTTACAGCACGCCATAATAGATTCTCAGTAATCTCTTTTTTTTTTTTGTGGGCGGTTTCCCCAATTTGGGATACGTTCCAATTTTGCCCTCCATATGAACGTCGTGACTTCAAAAGGAACCTCTTGTAACCATACAATTTTTCCATCATTTATAGGGCTGTTTTTATCCATTCTTTTACACATAGCTTTTACTTGACATTTTAATTAATTAAAAATAATAATACATGAATTAATAGCGACCATGTATAATGTAATTAATGTGTAAGATAATTTCAATGGTTAAAATAAATGAAAATAAACAATTGGTGTCAACAAAATGTTCTTTCAATAAAGAGTTTCCAATTAATACTAATATGATTAATGTAGTAATGAATAAAGAAAAAGTAATCTTTGATGTATTTAATTGCACTAATGGCATTTAAAACAAACATTTGTTAACATATATTTTTGTTAATTTATGATCGAATATCTTAGGTAGTCACCTATAAATCTTGTTCCAACTCATTGTTGAAGTCTTGAAGATAAAATACGAGCAAAGCAATGAAGCTTTTTAACGTATATGGTTATGCTACAGTTCTATTACTTATCACAACATCAACTGCAACAACGACATCAACAAGTAATTTACATATATAATTTTGTTTTGCTTGAATGTATTTTTTTATAACATAAGTTATGTAATATATGTTGTCACTTGGTTTAGATGATGGGAAAAAAGAGACGAAGATGGTAGTCCAGTTATGTGATGTGAATCTGACATGGACAACCGGTTGTTGGAAAGAAAAATGCAACAATTATTGTCATTTCTGGAGGAAGAAATACTCATGGGGAACATGTTCGGATGCTCAAACGTGCAAGTGTCAATGGATTTGTTCATAATTTTTGAAGCTTATTATGTTGGTATATTCGATTGCTATGAATAAAAATTAGTTATGCATGTTAAGTCTTAAAAGATTTGTGGTTGTTTCGATTGATTCTACTGAAAAGTTAGGGATCAAATTGTCGTGACAAGTTTGATCGATCTATTTAAAATAAAATAGATCAATTTGAGTTGTATTTATTATGAATAATGATAAAATGAACAATTAAAAAAATATCCAAAACGTAGAATGACAATGGGTGTGTTTCGAGGTTTTGAAAGCCTTTAGGAACTTGAGTTTTTAGTTTGTTCGGTGGATACGTTTATTCGATGGAATATTTGTCTTCTTTGGTGGGCATCCAACAAAACTCTCACATTTTTAATGACAATGTCAATGTAGCTACATAGTTTTTTTTTTTTTTTTTTTTTTTTTTTTTTTTTTTTTTTTTTTTTTTTTTCTAATAGGAAGAAAAAAAAAGTGCATTGGGGTTCTTGGTTGCAAAACCGTGCTCTAGTTTGTAAAACTTTGTAATTTTCTAAGGGATAATGACTTAGGAGGGTAATTAGGTTTCTAGTTTGTCCGTATTAGGTCACTAAGGTTTTTTTATGCGTATTAGACCAATATGGTTGTTATTACCGTTTAGAAATAGTCATTTTTACCGGTTTCTTCCAGTTTAACAGGTAAAAATGACTATTTCTAAACGGTAATAACAACCATATTGGTCTAATACGCACAAAAAAAACCTTAGTGACCTAATACGGACAAACTAGAAACCTAATTACCCTCCTAAGTCATTATCCCAATTTTCTAATTTTTTTTATTGGTTTTACTTTTTACTATATTTTTGTCTTGTCGTTCAAAAAAAAAATTTTGTTATTAGGGATAAAAAAATCTATAATACATGTAAAGAATTAAATTAAATGATATAATATTCTTTTCAAGTGCGGCACCAAAACCATTGTATCTAATTTTGTATTACTATGTAAATTCATATTTTTTTTTGGACTGAAACTACAGAAAAGTGATAACTAAAGCAGTTAGTTAGTGTTACTCATAATATATGTACGGAATTTGAAATTTTGACTCAAAATTTACTTTGTTAAGACCAAAAGCTTTGATAGGATTGAACTTGAGAAATATTCTATTTTGAATGGAACATCAAATGAATCACAAACATTGTTCAAAATTTAAACTTGTTATATATGTACATTAACAAAGAAAAAAAAACATTTTCAGAATTTAATATCCAATACTTACTTATAATGAAAATGTTGTATTTATATTTATAATTTATGAATTTATGAATGTGTTGTGTTCCAAATTCCAATCATTATGAATCATAGACCTTAGACTCACGATCTAAAATTAGAAACTAACCAAAGGATGGATGATGATCCCGCAAGAATCTCTAGCCCAAACAAATTTCAATTCTCAATTCATATTTACACTTACCATTTTCCTAAATTAATCATCTCAAATCTAATAAATGTTCTTCATTTCTTCTTTTATCAATCCTTCCATTCACAACATAATCTAACGAATTTCCAGAAAATATGAGAGAGATTGTAAGCATACACATCGGCCAAGCCGGAATTCAGGTCGGCAATTCCTGCTGGGAGCTTTATTGCCTCGAACACGAGATTCAACCCGATGGCTTCATGACCAGGTTTCTCGTTTTTCTTCAAAATCATCAAATCTGTTGATACACAGAAACTAAAATCACCGATTTCCAGGATTTCTTATTGTATTTGTATAGATTGATTCGATTTGTTATTTCTTTTCTAAATCGATGAACGTATCCTTGAAATCCAGGGATATCATATGTTAATTTGTGTTTAAAATTAGGGTTTGTTACTGAATTTTTTGTGAGATTTGTTGGCAGCGGCGAGTCGCAGCATAGCACAGGCGACGATTCGTTCAACACGTTCTTCAGCGAAACAAGTTCTGGAAAAAACGTTCCGAGAGCTGTATTTGTGGATCTGGAACCGACTGTGATTGATGAAATCCGCTCCGGTAGCTACCGGCAACTCTTCCACCCTGAACAACTTATTACCGGCAAGGAGGACGCCGCTAATAATTTCGCCAGAGGACATTATACAGGTAACTCTTTATTGGTTCCTTCTATTTCAAATATACGTTTTAGCCTTTTTGTATTGGTTTTCTATTTTGTCATGGAAGAAAAAACTTTTTTATTTATGTGACTTTAATGATACAACAAAATTTAAAGATTCATTATTTTAATTGAAGTGGATTTTTATTTTTATAAGTAACTAAAAATATTGTTTTATTATAACTTATTTGGATTTTGGATGTGTGAGCTTATTGTTGATTTATTGATTTTTTTTTTCCCGTCATAAAAAGCTGTCTCTTGTAGTTTGATTTTCTTTTAAAATTTCATCGACTTTTGTCATAAAAAAAATTGTACATGTTCCAACAAAAACTACATTTTTCGACCAAAATTACAAAGATCATACATAAGGGACCAAAAATAATCATTATCTAAACACGTTACAAAAATCTCAAAAGATGACTAGATTTATAAAAATCAATTGTATTCTAATACCAAAATGTAATTTATTCCATACAAAAAAATTTATGAACACTCGTTACATTGTTACATTTTTATGGCCAACTAATGTAAGCATTGATTTCAATCATTTGTAATTCAAATCCATCCAACCAAGAAGAAATTGAATCAATATGAAAAGTGTTCAAATTAATCACAATTATGACATAATTGATCAATGTGAAAACAAATTTATGTGCAGTGGGAAAAGAACTTGTTGATCTATGTCTCGATCGAGTTCGAAAGTTAGCAGACAACTGCACCGGTCTGCAAGGATTTATGGTTTTCAATGCGGTAGGTGGTGGGACTGGTTCAGGTTTGGGGTCATTACTTCTAGAACGTCTATCCGTTGAATACGGCAAAAAGCCCAAACTCGGTTTCTCAATCTTTCCATCTCCCCAAGTTTCAACTGCAGTTGTCGAGCCTTTTAACAGTGTGTTATCAACTCACTCACTACTCGAACACACAGACGTTGTTGCATTACTTGACAATGAAGCAATATATGATATTTGTAGGCGAGCATTGGACATCGAAAGGCCATCTTACACGAATTTAAATCGTTTGATTTCTCAAATAATTTCATCATTGACTACTTCATTAAGGTTCGATGGTGCAATTAATGTTGATATTACAGAGTTTCAAACGAATCTGGTTCCGTATCCTAGGATACATTTTATGCTTTCTTCATATGCACCCGTGATCTCAACTGTCAGAGCCCACCATGAGCATAACACAGTGTCTGAGATCACGACTGCGGTGTTTGAGCCGTCGAATATGATGGCTAAATGTGACCCAAGACATGGGAAATATATGGCATGTTGTTTGATGTATCGTGGTGAAGTGGTCCCGAAAGATGTTAACACTGCTGTGGGGTCCATTAAGAACAAACGTACTGTTCAGTTTGTAGACTGGTAAGCTTTTTTTTTCGTATTAACTATTAACTATTTAAAGCCAAAAGCAAGTGCATTAAATGAAAAAACTAAACAATATAAAAATATTATTGATTTCTATTTCTATACGTAAATTGTGATTATTTTATTATTTTTTTAAGGTGCCCAACGGGTTTCAAGTGTGGAATCAACTACCAGGCACCGACAGTGGTTCCTGGCGGTGATCTTGCAAAGACAAGGCGGGCAGTGGCCATGATAAGCAACAACACGGCAGTGGCTGAAGTGTTCAACCGGATTGACCATAAGTTTGACCTTATGTTTGCAAAAAGAGCTTTTGTGCATTGGTATGTGGGTGAAGGCATGGAAGAAGGTGAGTTTTCAGAAGCACGTGAGGATCTTGCTGCTCTTGAGAAAGATTATGAAGAAGTTGGTCAAGATGCGGAGGAGGAAGGAGGAGAGGAAGAAGAGGAGTAATCATCCCATGTGGCCCCCACCTTTCAAAACTATATATATTTTATTTGTTGATTAAATTTTATATTTTAGAGTTCAAATATGCACAAAATATAAATCAAGTTCTAACATTGTATTCTTTTTTCCCAAGTGTAATGTGGCTGATGAGTAATGATGTTTGTCTCCATATCATGTTGTATACATAAAATCCATTGTTTTTTTAGACTTAATATATTTATTTTCTGAAGAAAAAAAAAGTACAAATAGGCAAAGTGTAGGTGTGATTCGTCTTAAAGAGAGGCTAAAGGCTCTTAATCATCATTCAACAAAAACAGAAGTATGAGCCCTTCCCACTATGAAGTATTGAGTTATCATTTGTTGGTGTCATCCCTCGTCACCATCGTCGGTGTCTTTGTGTGACATTATCATCGACCCCTCCTTTGCAACCATGGATGTGCCTCTCTAACCAACCATCACCATCTTCGTCTTCAAGTTTTGATTGATTCAAGTTTCCAATTCTCATTATGCTCAATCAATCACCCCCGAATGTTCCAATTTCTTTTCTTTAAACCCTTTTACTGATAGTTTTGGTGGTGATTTTCGGTAGATATCTCCATTTCTCACCGTTTGTTGAGTTTGGCCTCGAATATGTATGGTTTGTTAAATTTGAATCAACAATCACAAGTTTTTGGTTTTTGGAATGCTTCATAACTCTTCTTGTTTTAATTATATGTTATAATGTACTGCTGCAAATCTTATCATTTATCTAGTTCTTACAATAGTTAGGTTCTTAGCAAGCCAGCCCAAGGGGAGTTTAGAAGGTGCGCTTGCCTTTGAACATGGCTCGTTCTTCTTTAGGGCCCAACATGTTTATCCACTTTGATACCAACCCAAGGGGAGTTTAGAAGGTGTGTTTGCCTTTGGAACCGAACCGGTTTCGGGTGAACCGGTTTTGACTTAGTTGACCAGAACCGAACCGGTTTTCTGAACCGGTCCGGTTCAGAAAAAAAAAACCGGTTTGTGCATGCCTAGGCCTAAGTCACTTTAGGTTAATCTTGAAATTGGAAAGCAGGAATGTCTCTTGAGTTTCTTGATGAGCAATTGTCTTTACTCTTCAGCCTTAAAATGTCACAATCATCTGCTTTGCTTTTATCTTTGACTCTTTTAATCTTCTTTAATATTAATCAAAGTTCAACTCAATAGTCTTTTTAAATCACTAAATAGGTATGTTTCTATTCTAACTTTCTATTTTTCTCGAATTTAATTGCAAATAACTAAAATATTAATCAAAATGTATTCGAATATTGCCTAAAAATATCTATAAATATGGCAATATCAAATACCCCACACTTATCTTTTGCTTGCCCTCAAGCAAAACTAATTATTTTTAATTTAAACCTTCATCACTAGCATCACAAAGAACAATCTATTTCGAACTCAACCATTATACCAAGACCTCAATGTGCATATTTGTGTCTAAGGTCCTAATAACTTTCCTAATCCTAAATACTCACAATCCTTATGAACATTCACCCATTAGCTTATATGATACTCATTTCTGCAACCCTCCGAATCAATCCCCAGAAATCTTACTTAACCTCAAGGTATTTTTGGTTAAGCTCCCCAAGCATACATAATCTAGAAATTACAACTTTAGATACCACAATGGAGCTTTTGGAATTCTTCATTTCTTTGATATTTGATCTTTGATTTTTTTGAATTCACCACCTTTTTGTTTGATTTTTGGTATCTTCAACTTTTGATTCTTTGGAATTTTGATCTTTTGATCTTCATACTTGATAGCTCCAAAATTCAACTTTTCGGTAATTTCTCTTTTTTTTTCTTATATATATAACTCACTTTTTTCTCTCAAAACCTACATGCTTAAGCAAGGGAGCTTAACTTCAACCTTTATTGGCTAGAGATATTAGTCTAAGTGCAATGACTACATAAGCTCTCCTGGATAGATTTCAGGTACAGGCTGCAAAATTTATTATGTCATATAAACTACCAGATTACCTTTTCATAACTCATGACTTTTCACTAGGAATGGGAAGCCACAAATATACTATAACATATGTTGGCTCAATTAAACATTTGAGCTCTCATCGGATCATTCCACGCAACACTAACACCTTAAGTTTAAACTATTATTACTAGAATTAAATTTTAAATTATTATTCCAAATCTATGTCTAAAAATTTTTAAATTTTTAAATTTCCTAGCAATTTACTTTTTCGACCCTCTACCCCATACTTATTACATACAATGCTCTCATTATATGCATAAAATAATATAAAAGCAATAAAAAAGGAGAAAAATGAACAAATTCCACTGGGGTAGTAGTGGCGAGCTCAAATTCTTCACGTGTGGATAACTTGAACATCTTGATTATGGACTCTTCTAATATGGAACTTGGATCTTTAACAAATGAGAGATGTAAATGTGCCGATAAAAATATAGAACTGAGACTTCAATCTTCAATAAACATGGTGTAGAAAAGTCTCCAAAGTATAATAGAACAATGTGGGAAACCATACACCATAATGCATAGTTGAGAAAATGAGTCATAAGCAGCTTCATGATATTTCCAATGAGGGTAATAGTGACCCATGAAATAAATATGGAGTAAAATGCTTCCAAATTGAGAAATGTGGGTCTTCACGTCGTGAGTGATAGTTTTCACGGCGTGACATCGTGAAAAATCAGTTTTCGGAAATTGTCGCAAACGAGCTCACGACGTAAGTTATAGGTGCTCACGTCGTGAGAACTGGGTTCACAGAATGTAGTATCACCAATTCTTCATTCAAAAAGTGCAATGCAAAATTGTGTCTTAACAAATTAAGACCCTTCTTAACAATATATTTCGTGACTCTTCTCTAATTCGCTTCTCTCTCGATCAACCCCACACTTATTTTTGATTGTGGGTCTCGTCTCTCATCTCTAAACGATCGGCTAAACGTGATTACGCACTCATATCTCTAATATTCATTCCTACGTTTTTTCTAACAAATTCTGAAAATAAACAACCAAATGAGGTGAAAAAGAAACATAACAATCTTAAATTTTACAACCAAATTTAACTAAATCAAAACAAACAAATTTTTTTAGCCCATACAAGATTCACGACGTGAGTCCTAAAGCTCACGACATGAACTTTAAAATTCACGGGACCACAGATTTAAGTAATCAGAAAATCGTTTGACTACCACTTTTCAGTTCCCACGAAGTGAACTTGCATCCTTGGTCCCCCACACTCGATTTCGGCCTTTTCTTCTCACATCTACCTTCTTGCTTACGTGATACTCCATTTTAAGGTAACAACTATATTCTTGATTCTATGATCTACTAGATTTAGGGGTTAGGGTTTGTGTTAATAGGTTAAAAAATTTGCAATTACCTATGTTTATGTTCGAAATTCATCTTGCATGTCCCTAATATGTGCTTAAAATTGCTACTTGACAAAACCCTATGCGATATTTACACTTAGTTTGCTTGGAATTTGGTTCGATTTTGAGGATAGGACTAACTGCCTTCGCGCTAAACTCACGATGTGAGGCTGCTTCTCACGACGTGAATACTGGACTTCCAAGAATTTACATTTTCTGGTTAATGTTTAATGGTTGTTATGCTTTGTGTTTTGTTTTTCTGTTATTTTCTTGCAGGCATATGGGTCCTAGAAGGGATATTAATGAAGCTCAAGGTGGAGTTGCCAACTTACACCCATTTTATACCTTCCCAACCAACATATCCCGGGAGGTGCTTAACCGGTATAACAATCGATTGGGATGGCTCCATAATAGAGAGTTTGCAGTGTCTCCCACAATCAATTGGAACAAGCTTAGGGGGTTGGGACTTCTTGACCGTTTGAACCCATTTCTCACTAAAATTTTTGTGGGGAATGGAATTACATTTACATGCAAAGGGTGGAACAATTTGTTTGCGATACAAGAAAGGGTTTACAAGGAACTATGTGTTGAATTTTTCTCCACGGTGGTTTTTCAGGATAATGTGGAAGACCCCAATTTCCCTCACGCTTTAGTCTTTCGGTTAGGAGGGGAATATCGGGAATGCAGTTTGGTTGAATTTACATGGAGAATGGGTTTACATGAGGCCCATGAAGCAATGACTCTGGTATTATCTGCATTTTTGCGGGAAGCTGCGCGGACGTATTCTAGGGGTATGTTGGGACATGAGTTTTGGGGTCACATTGCTTCAGGAATATTTAACTTGGGTGTTTCTCCGGAAAGCAACATAAAATCCCCGATGGAGATCCATCGTTTGATTCATCGCCTCATCACATTCTCTATTCATCACAAAAAGCATGGGGATAAGGTTACCAAAATCAATTTGTTCTTTTTATGGACCATTTTGCAACCGGGAATTTGTTGCAACATTCCCTACTTTTTGGCAAGATACTTAGTCGAGCACGCGGTTAGTTCCAGTCCCGGGAGCCCGATTTGTGGTGGCCATTTTGTCACCCGTTTAGTACGATCATATGGAGTAATCGTTCCCGGGATTACAAGGACACTTACTTGTAAGGAGGGGAATGAATTTTCTTTGGGTTATTGGGAGACCATGCGGGTAGTGGTCAATATGGGTACACATTGGAGCATCCCACATAGTGATGATGAGGATGTTGAGCAACCACAAGAAGAACCCGAACACCAGCCGTGGCAACGAGGGAGAAGGAATGTGAGAGCTCGTGGGGAAAGAGGGCAACCACAACATCCACTCCCACAATTTGAGGGAGGAGTACCTACCGACCCGTTTCAGAGTCGGGTGGGTACATATTTGGACAATCTGCGTGGGAAAGTGAATTATAACACCTAAATTCTCGAAACTATGTTTGCACATATGAATGTGGTGCGACCTCCTACGATACTTCCCCAATGCCCGTACATTCCGACATGGGAGGAATTGTGGATGTCAAGAGAAGATGGAGTGGAACTAGCGGAGCACATGACGAGGAAGATGATGATTAGTTTTATCCTTTAATTTAATTTTATTTGGGTTTCTTTTAGTTTATTTTTGGTTAGTTTGTTTTGATTTAGTTTAATTTGGTTGTAAACTTTAAGATTTTTATGTTTCTTTTTCACCTCCTTCGGTTGTTTATTTTCAAAATTTTGTGAGAGGAAACGCAGGAAGGATTATTAGAGAT